ACTACATATACTCTGGCTTGAGTTACCACATACAGAGTCAAAAGCCCTTAATTGCTATGGTTACATCATCTCACCATGTGTGATAATTATGAGGCTACTGGGAAGGCCACTCCCGACCACAATATATCCTCATCAATTGTACTTAGTGCCTAGAAATACTAGAGGTCTTGTTAATTATGAAAAACAAAAATTCTAAAATAGAGTAAATTACATTTAAATTTTCAGTAATAATATTTCTTTAATATTCAGTAAGGACATCAAGGGTATGGGTATTTTAATGAGGAAAAAAAATTACTGGATATGTACTTTCAAATGAAATATAGTCTGGTTAGGATATGCATGAGGATTGATAATGGGCATGAAAAAGTAGAATTGAAAATGTGAAAATAAATGTAGAAAGAAGTGGATGGAGAGCAATGACCAATTCTGTTGGCTTTATTATTTTGCCTAAACTGGTCATGATCAATGATATGGCCATTCTGACATATGCCAGCCAAGTTTCACTGAACACCAGCACATCTTCAATGCTAAATAAGTAAATAAGTAAGTAAGTAAGTAAATAAATAAGTTGACTTCAAATTGAAAAAAAATAGGGAAAAGTATCTCAGTTTTCCCCGTGAGCCCAAGAAAAGATGGGGCTACCATTCACCTCTTAAGGATGGCAAGGTACAGTCACAGGCTGTTGTCAATCGAGACAGCTGCCCAGGAATACACAGTGGGTGTCTTTCCTCTTTAGGTAAAGAGTTTACTAAATTCTTTCCTTGACCTGCCCACCTTCTTGTCCACTGACCAAGCCACAAGCATATCAAAGGAAAAAAGACAAGCCCAGGAACGTCTTTCTGGATTATTACACACTCCATCCTCTGAAGTCATATTTCTCAATGTAAATTTGAGTAAGACAAAAATAAGAGGTCAATGTTTTAATTTGAATATGTTATCTCATTCCTTCCATATGCAGAATACTCTCAAATAATTCATGATATTATTTCTCAGAACAGTTGAAAACTAAATCTGCTCTTCTTTCACTTTCACAGGGTCAGTTTGATTTACATAATAATATTGACTGCAAAAGGAGACTCCTTTTTGGTGAGACCACTTCTGAGCTTGAAGCAGCTGTAATGAAAAACGGAAAAAAGTATGATATTATTCTCTGTCAAACACAGAAAACGTGTGATTTTGCAATGGTTTATATCCTACACTACTGTTTGACAAGCATGATGTTGAACTGCATTAAATATTAATTTGTATAATATAGTAGTCATATAAAACTAGGCATAAAACACAGCAGGGAAATTGCATTTTCTTACTGTTAAGACTATTGTTATAGTCATCTGGTACCTCATGCTGTCATCCTACTTAGTAGATTGATGTTTGTTTTCCCAGTACACACCGACTGCTATCAATAGCATTGCTAACTTGTCTATTGTTATGTAGCCCTCAGAAGTAGTCAATCTTGCTGACTGCGAAAGGGTCCTTAGTTTTGAGAGACTACTCATAATCTCCTGACATGAACTTAATCAAAATTCTAAAATGACATGTGAACACTTGTTTCTAGCAAACAGTTTATGTTAAACCTAGGCACAGCTTTGGTTTTGTTCTATAACTTATTTCATGATGGATGACCAGGAATAACCTAACTTCAAAGTGTTATTTTCCTTTGTTTTCATGTGTGCAGTCCATATAAATAATGTCTCAGTTTTCTCCTAATTCTCACTAAAGGAGGGTATTTGCTAAATAGGCCCATTCACCCTTTTCTCTAGTCATTCCCTGCTCACTCTTTAATCTTCTTGTTCTTGTCATAAATCATGAAACTCTTAGTTTGATTCCATTTTTCCAGAACACCCACAACATTATTTGACAAAACCTGCAAGGATTGAAAACATATTATTTAAAAGCAACTTCTTTCTTTTCTATTTGGTTCTACTCCTATCTCCTTTGTTTTTGGCTCTCAACATGTATTCACATCCATAAAACCAGCTCTCACTAATCTCACAGCCTCTCCAAAGGCTTGCCTAAGGCATTCCTCCATGTCAGTTCATCTGAAGACTTTCAGCTGATGAACAGCAAGAAAATGTCACTCAGAAAAAGATGGTTACAAAGCTGGCCAGACACCATGTGCTGTTATATTTCTAGCTTTGCCAAATGTAACCTTCTTGATCTTCATTTCTATTTTAGAAGGAATCTCAAAGTCTGAGACTCATTCTTAGCCCAAATTTAAGCAAAGAGGAAGAATAAAGAATAGGTACAGAATTTCAGCAAAAAAGAGATTCTTTTAATATCTTTGTTTATGAACATATATTCATATTGCATGGATAGGAAAGAGCATCAGGAAATGAATTCGGGAAGTAAGGAGACTGAAAGTGAGTAGTGAGTTACAAACTCCTCATGCATTGCCTCATTACACCTGGATTTTGAAGGCTCACAGATTGCTCTCTTCTTTTTTGGCAAAACTAAACATATAGCTTTTAAATAACTACAATTACTCCTAATTTTAATTTCCCTAGAGAAAAGAAAATCTATTTTATTTCACCTAGACATCTATATTCTCACCTAGATACTTGTACTGATTACAGGTTCATTTCTGCAAGTGCTTTAGTCTCTCACAGAAACATGTGATGCAGAGCAGTGGTCCTCAACCACTGTGCACCCCAGAGCAAGAGGAACTTTAAAAACTTAAGGTTGATATAGCTCCCTGGAGACAATGATCATTTATGTCTCCAGGAGAAAATCACTGACAAACATTTCTGTGGTGTGCAGGTTCAAGAACTTAAAATTAGATTAAAATATTCCTGTATTTACTGCCATTTTATCTCTTTTTTTTAATTTAAAAAAAAAAATCCCAAAATACTAAGTAAAAAATATTCTTATTTATATAAAGTCATCTGCTATCATTATTTCCTAAAAACTACAACAAAAAATAGGCCTACCAATATCTTCTTTTTCAACATTACTTCAAATGAAATTTCTCCCAGATATAAACATTCAAAAGCTATTTTTAAAGTTTTAATCATCTGAACCAAAGGATTTAGTGTTGACTGATAAATCTTCCTATGATAGCCTGTAAAATACACTAATCACAGGCTACTGGCTCTGTGGACATTCAATAAATTAACAACCGATGAAGCTGAAAATATGTTGCTCTAAGCTGACTCTTTAGTTTTAAATAACCGCTTTCAAAACTTCACCTTAAAAAATGTCATGAACATAAAGAATATTTATGAGTGATTGGTCTTCATCCCTTCCAAACAAGTGATTTAGTTCTGGCAGGCAATACTGGGTCTCCAACGTTCAGGCTTTCATTTCTGAAGTTCAACACAAGAATAGGAAATCACCCTAAGTATGCATTACTACTGTCAATCAGAAGACTAAATTAAAATTCAAATAATAAAGATGAATTATATCTATATTAGAAAAGATTAAAGGAACATTTTAAAAAATAAAAATCAAGAGGCATAACCTGTTGAAATAATTTAAATAAAGAAATAAAATTGGAAATACAGAAATTACAGACATAGACAAATATAAATGCTTTGGGACAGTGGCAAAAAGAAAAAGGCCTGTGATAGTCATAGCATATTCACTTGTGTCTGAATCAGGGACTTCAGCTCATAAGCATTAATCAGAAAAATGAGTTGTAGTTACAATACAAGAAAAATTACCTAATTTTAGCCTTAGTAAAACTCTCTGGCAATTTATAAAATTGAGTTATGGAATCTCTTTATTAAAAATACTTTAAGGATACACTTAAGAATGATTACAATGAAATAGTTCAGCCAGGTTGCCATGAATCTAAGTAGAGCCTTCCACTTCAATTCCTGAGTCTTTTACTGCAATAAAGCAACTCAGCAGCAGGACTTCTCTAAAGTCAAGTAAGGCCTCCATTTTTCTAGTAAATTAATATATTTTAAATACCAAGACAAGATTTTTAAAAGTAAGTTTTTTTTTCTGAAATCCCTAGGAATATTAACAAGAGATTTTACTATATAGACTTACCTATAACTATCATAATGATTAGATTAGAAAATTAGAAAATAACCTTAAATATCTACCAATCAATAATAAAATCTTTTTGTTTCTCTCCTATTTCAAAATGATTTCTAAATTTCTAAATGGTATTTTTGATGATCTCTGATATTCTAGATAACGATGCATTTTTAGAGTAAAATGTTTTTTCTCCCACCTGAATGAAATTCATAAAGCATCTAGTTTATGTCAATCATTCCTTTTTTGGCATTCCAATGAAGACTATGAAAGATACTCTTACCTTAACATTGACACTGATCCTACAAAACAAGCAGAGTCCTTCACTTGAAATATAAAAAGGAAGCACATATATGGAGCATCTAACGCAACAGTTGAAACAGTGCTTAGGTCAAAAGACTTAAGCTTCTGGAGGATATGAGTATCCAGTCACTATTCAGATGAGACTTGAATTGCACAAAAATAAAAAAGATATTATTTAGGAAAAGTTGAAGTTATTAAGAAACAAACCTATAACAATTGTCAGCACAGAGAACGGAAGAAGTGCATAGAAATTCATCTGAAAACTATAACTCTTGGCAGTTAGCCAATAGCCAAATGCCTAGGGTTAAATACAGACTACTAACAAGAATCGAAAGAGTAACCTGAAAAAAAAACCATGATCGATGTTATCTTTTGGGTTCGAAATATCAACGTTAATAACTCTTCTAATTTAATTTAAACAATTTCTGTTGTATCATAAGATTTTAATAAAATAGTAGTGCTACTATTATGACATCTGATTATGTTGCCAATAACATTTTCTCATTTGAAAACAAGATTGTCTAATTAAATGTCTTTCTATAGAACCGATTGCTGAAATCTCAAAAAAGTTTCATATTGATAAATTACATGCTATGTTTCACATTAAGATACTCTGCAATACACGCACACATCACAGAAATAGAGCCTATATCATGCTATTTGTGCTTTTGTAATAACGCTTCTCTGTTCCTCCAATGTTGCACTTCCTTATTTGTAACTATAAAAATAACTGAAATAATCTTCTCCCCACTCCTTTTCTACTTCATAGGGTCATGGCTGCCTTCCAAATTTAGCAGAAGTGATTCCTCCTCTATGAAGGAACAGAATTCCTTCACCACTATGGTCATGATCGTCGCGGCCCTCAACCGCCCTTTCTGTTTCCTATACGGTACTGACATTTGTTATAGAAGTCATGTAGAGACAATTGCAAAATGATTTTAATTGGAATTTCAGATACATGACTTGCAGATTTATCAGCTGTGCAAATTTAGTCAAATTGTTTAACTCTCCTGAGCTTGCATCCCTTCATCTTTAAAGTGGAGCCGAATACGTCTACCCTGTAGGTTACACTAAAGGTTAACTGAGTTCACACATGTAAAGACCATCGTACAGCATCTGTCCTGTGTAAACAAGAAAGGATAGTTTTCATGATGATAATGAAGATGAGAGTGATGACATACCCTCACTGTGGGGCCTTCAAATCTTTGAAGCAAACTTTAGTAATCTTGTTATCTCCAGAGCCCAGGACTTTCACATTGCAGATTATGACACATCTCTGTTGAATTTAAAAATATTGACTATAAGTACCTACTCGGGAGGCAATGTGTAGCAATAAGAAAAAAGTGTAAGAAGAGGACAAAAAGACTACCTATGGAAAGTTTCTGGATACTAAATCAACGTTCAAAAATTCATAGCGCCCCTGTATTCTAATAATGAAGTGTCGGAAAAAGAAATGGAAAAAATAATTCTTTTTGCAATTGCAAAAAAGAATAAAATACCTGGGAATAAATCTAACAAAACATGTGAAGGACCTATATAATGAAAACTATAAGACACTATTAAAAGAAATCGAAGAAGTTACAAAGAAATAGAAAGATATTTTGTGTTCTTGGGTTGGAAGAATCAACACAGTTAAAAATGACCATATTACCTAAAGCATTATACAGATTTAATGCAATCCCCATCAAAATTTGATCGGCATTTTTTAAAGAAATAGAACAAAAATCATCAGATTTGTATGGAAGCACAAAAGACCCCGAACTACCAAAGCCATCCTGAGAAAAAAGAACGAGGCTGGAGGTATAACTCTGCCCCACTTCAAATTATATCACAAAATGGAAATTGAAACAATCATCAAAAACTTACCAAAAAGTAAAAGTCCAGAACCAGATGGCTTTACCAGTGAATTCTACCAAACATTCAAAGAAGATTTAATACCTATTCTCCTCAAACGCTTCCAAAAAATTGAAGAAGAGGCAATACTTCCCAGTTCATTTTATGAGGCCAATATTACTCTGATAGCAAAACCTGGTAAAGATAACACACAAAAAAAGAGAACTACGGACCAATATTTCTTATGAACACAGAGGTAAAAATCCTAAATAATATACTAGCAAACTGAATACAGCAACATATTAAAAAGATTATACATCACGATCAAGTGGGCACATCTCAGAGGCACAAGGATGGTCCAACATATGCAAATCGATTAATGTGATACACCACATAAGCAAATTAAAAAATAAGAATCATATAATCCTATCAATAGATGCAGAAAAAGCCTTTGACAAGATACAGCATCCATTTATGATCAAAACACTTAACAAAACTGGTACAGAAGGAAAGTACCTTAACATAATAAAGGCCATCTATGACAAACCCTCAGCCAACATTATACTTAATGGTGAAAAACTAAAAATCTTGCCTCTAAGATCAGGAACAAGACAAGGCTGTCCACTATCACCACTGTTATTCAATATAGCATTGGAGGTTCTAGCAAGTGCAATCAGGCAAATGAAAGATATAAAAGGCATCCAAATAGGAAAGGAAGAAGTCAAACTGTCACTATTTGCGGATAACATGATTCTCTATACAGAAAACCCTAAAGACTCCACAAGAACACTACTAGAAACAATAAGCAAATACAGTAAAGTCCCTGAATACAAAATCAATGTTCAAAAATCCATATCGCTTCTATACTCTAATAATGAAGTGTCAGAAAAAGAAATGGAAAAATAATTCTTTTTGCAGTTACAACAAAAAGAATAAAACACCTAGGAATAAATTTAACGAAACAAGTGAAGGACCTATATAATGAAAACTATAAGACCCTATCAAAAGAAATTGAAGAAGATACAAAGGAATGGAAAGATATTTCGTGTTCTTGGATTGGAAGAATCAACAGAGTTAAAATGACCATATTACCTAAAGCATTATGCAGATTTAATGCAATCCCCGTCAAA